TTTTGCTTTTATCTTCAGAGCTTAGTATAGTGCTTGACACAAAATAAATGTTTTATAAAAATAGATAGTACTTATATAAGTGCTTTAAGGATTGCAAAAAGCTTTGCAAACCGTCTCATTTAATCCTCACAATGACTTTGGCAGTTTAGTGCTATTATTATCCCCATTTTATGGATGAAGAAACTGAGGCAGACTAAGGCTAAATGGCTTAGCAAAGGGCATACAGCTAGTATCTAAGGCAAGATTTGAACTCAGATTTCCCCTGTTGCTTCTACTATCCATCCATGCATCCATCCATCTTTCTCTTCATTTCTCATCAGGCTTCTCCACTATGCCCCAGTAACCTCTTCATCCCAGAAGATCACTTCAACACTGCACTTCATTTCCCAGAAGTACCCCCTGCCTCTGTGACACCTCCCTCTGATTGCCTGGCCCCTCTCAGAACCTCCATTCAAGAAGGGCACCCAGGACAGCAATCTCTTCATTTGTCACCAGGCTAAAATTGAGACTAGATACCTTCCCCCAGCCTGCTCCTCTCCCACTCTCACCTCATCCCCCGCTCTAGCTTCCTTTTATGCGTCGTCTTCACCCATCAGAATGTAAGCTCCTTCAGGACACAGACTGTCTTTCTTTTTGCTTATATATGTATTCCCAGGGCTTAACACAATGTCTGGCACTTGGTAAGCAATTGATAAATCATCCAATCCAATAAATCTTTATTAAGCACTTATCAGGCACTGCGCTAAGCACTGGAGATACAATTAACAAAAAGTAAGACAGTTTTTGCCCTCAAGAAGCTTACAATCAAATGGGGGAGATAACACACAAAGGGAGCAGGAAAATGAAGAAGTGGTTGGAGATCCAGGGACATTTTATTCAGGAGAGTTGAAACCAGGCACAGCAAAACACAGAGTGGAGCAGGCCAAAACATCCAGTTTCTGCCCTCTATTAAAAAAAAAAAAAGCATTTGGAGGAGTGCGGTACCCCACCCTTGAGCCCTCCAATCAGAGGGGACAGAAGCCTGAAGGAGGTAGTGTCAAATCAAGGCTAGAGTGAGCAGCCAGGTGATGAAGTTAGAGATGATGAGCTTAACCTGGGAGGGTCGTCTTGCTCTTAGAGTTGAAACCAGGCAGAGCATCTATCACACACAGTCTTTAACATACAATTAGTCACAAACCCATTAAATAATAATTTTCCTGCCTGGGATCAAAAGCATAAAATAAGAACTAATCAAAATTTAAAAACAAATGCATTTGAGCTGGATAGAGAGGGAAGAGATCCTCAGGTCCTTTTCCATTGTAGAGGAAAGAAACATGCCCTTCCATAACACTAAGATTCTTGCTAAGTAGGCCTACAGGGATGGGGAGAATGGGAGGGCATAAGGAGCAAGGTACAGTAATGACTGGGGAAAAACCACTGGGAGAAGGAAGGATGTCATCTGGTAGCTTCCCATTTTATTTATTTATTTATTTATTTATTAATTTATTTTAGGCAATTGGGGTTAAGTGACTTGCCGAGGGTCACACAGCTAGTAAGTGTCAAGTGTTTGGTCTGAGGCTGGATTTGAACTCAGGTCCCCCTGACTTCAGGGCCACTGCACCACCTAGCTGCCCTGTAGCTTCCCATTTTAACTGATAATTTTTGCCAACCAGCAAGGTGGCGCAGGGGATGGGATGCCGAATCTGGAGTCAGGATTGTTGTTCATCCTTTGTCTATGACATCAGCAAGGTGATGTCTTGACTTGCGAGCGAATTGGGTTTAAGTGAGGCAGAGCAGTGCAAAGTCATCAGCCTCACTTTCTCCTCCAGAGTCATTGGTGGAAAGACTTAAGTCAAGACAACTATCAATGACTCTGGAGTCAGGAAGATCTGAGTTCAAAACTGGCCTCAGAGACTTACTAGCTGTCTGACCCTGGGCAAGTTACTTAACCTCTCTCAGCCTCAGTTTCCTCATCTATAAAATTACGATAGTGATAGCACCTACTGTCCTGATTGTTGTGAGGATCAAATGGGAACACATTTGAAAAACATAATGGGGTGTATAAATGCTAGCTACTATTCACTGTTTGCTAGGTTCAGTTGTTTCTATGCCACAAAAAGAGAGCAAGTGCTATCAAAGTTCTCTAAAATTTTGCTGCCTTTGGACAAAGCTCCAGACACCCCACCCTAGTTACAACTCTGATTAGTCCCAATGTAGAAGTACATTTTAATGTGTTTCCTCTTCTACAAGTCTCTACCCCTACAGCTCCTTACTCTCTCCTCTTCCTCCAAACCTTTAGAAGCTCCTGCTTCCCTGCAGGTCTGCTTTTCTTGATTGAGGAGTATGCACAGGGACCAGCCGGAAAGTCTATTCAAATGTTAATCCACGTTTAACTAAAGCCTGGTTTTTGTCTTCAGTAACAACAATGACCTTGAGACCATCTATCCACATTCCCCCTACATATTGTATTTGTGCAAGAAGTCTAATATCAGTTTCTTTATTTAGAGTACCAGTTAAGAAATAAGTATTCTTTTAACTAAATGTTCAAAATTATTAAGTTTTGTCCTTGAAACTCATTCACTTTTCTCCCGATTACAATGAGTCTCTGGGAATATAATACAAGTAATCCCTTTCTAGGAAAACCCTTTCTATTTACTGGCAAGAATCTTTATATAATACTTGATGATGCCCCCTGGGAAGGACAAGCTGAATTGGCAGGATGAGGTTTATGTAACGCTCCCTGCCCAGTGGAAGCACTGAACCTAAGGGCAATTTGCTTTTGTGATTTGTTGTTATTGTTCAGTTGTATCTGATTCTTTGTGACCCCGGTGGACCATAATATCCATAGAGTTTTCTTGGCAATGATAATGTAGTGGTTTGCCATTTCCTTCTCCAGTGGGTTAAGGCAAACAGAAATTAAATGACTTGCCCAGGGTCACACAGCTAGTAAGTGCCTGAGGCTAGATTTGAACTCAGGTCTTCCCAACGCCAGGCATGGCACTCTATCTACTGCACCACCTATCCACCAAAAAAGATTTAATTCTATGTAGTTGATTAGGAGCTTAATTTTAACTTTGTCATCACACAACCACCGTATAAATGGGTTTTCAAGGACAATAATGGCTCAACATGCTCTTTCTTTGGCATGTCGGCCTCTTCGGTCAATTCACTTTCCTCAGTCATGATTATCAGTTACACACAAAGTGTGACAGTCCTAAACCAGACCTTCATTAGTCACAAAATGCTAAGTAGAACCTCCTACTTATAGTTTTTTAAGTCAAGAAGAATTATTTGGGGAGGAAATAAGGCAACTTGACAAATGTCGGCCTTTAGATGCACACTTTCTGTCAAGCATGGATCATTGAAGGCTCTGCTAACAGAAATTTAAAAAAAAAAGGTTGACAAGTTCTTCTAAAATGGAACGATTGGAGTATAGGTTCAGAAACATATTGTGTATCTGTTGTCAGAGGAGCAGCTTAGCAAAGTCAGAGAGGCTTGTCTATCAACTCAAAGACCACCCTCTAAGGTATGAAGGGGCTACATTTTGTGTCAGTGGGGGAGGAGCCCATGATGCTGAAATCTTGAATTCTAACACTAAGAGCAACAAGAGAATAGAAAGACAACATAAAGAATAAAGGCTGTAATCATTCAGAACTTCTCTGGATGTAACAGTGATAGGCAACCCATCATGGCATACTCTGAATCCAAGAATGGTTTTAGAATTTAAAGAATTTTGTACAGACATATAGTTCAAGAAACTTCCAATGAAAGTCTGTTGATGCAGATCAGTAATGATTTAGATTTAGTAATTATTACTTAGAGTCTTAGAGGGTTATCTGAAGTATAACAAGGTAAAGTGACTTGCCCAAGGTCACACAGTCAGGCTGCATTACAGACAAGATTCCAACCTGAGTCTTCTTGCCTCTGAAGCTAACTTTTTATCCACTACCCCAGAATTCATCTCAATTTTCACCTTTATTGAGAAAGACTTCCTTTGAGGCATTGGACCAATGTATCTGCCCTTTTGGTAATAGCCAGTGACAATCAGGAGGTTACGAAAAGAATGATGTCAACCACAAAATGACCACAGAAGTTGATTAGGGTATCCCCCACCACAGACCACCAAATGTCTGAATAAACATTCCTACTGCCAAGGCAATATTCAGAGTCACTCAGCTTTCCAAGTTTCTCTATTTCCCCCAAAGAAATTATGGGATGTTCACTTATTCGGAAAAAGACCACTATTGTGGCTAGAGGTTGTGTAGGAGGAAGAAAATAATTTTGAGGAAGAGAATATAGAAGAGCTATGTTGAGGTGGCAGAGACTATAGGATTATTTAAATTCTTGCTAGACATCTGTTCAACGAAGTGCATTGTGCAGCCCTGTGAGACATACTTCTTTCAGCTCTCTTGGAGTGAGTTAGTAATGAAACTTCTTGAGATGCACCATTAAGGGTTTCAGTATCTATTCTACTTTGCAGCTTCAACCCCTCTATAGCAGAGGTTTTAAAGTCTGGAATCAATGAATTCCCATGGGCTCTACAGGCAGAATTTTTTGGAGTTTGAGGTCTGTGAATTTAGAACATCTTTATTTCTACTAATCTTTGAAATTTAGTATTTCCTTTGATTGAAAACACTATCATTCTGAGAAGGGGTCCATGGGCCTCACCAAACTTCTGGTAGTCTATGGCATAAAAAAGGTTAAAAATCCATGTTCTATTGGATAGAACAGAGGAAAGTCAGGACCAAAATACGGGTTAAAGGATTATCAAAACCTAGTGAGAATGCTGAGTTTTTGAAACTAAGAGCAAGACCAGTCTGCTTAGTTGTACTTGCTAACAATCACTCAGCCTAAGCCACTATGCATTATGAATATAGTCACTTCGTAAAACAACCCAGCTAAGTTACTTTGTGAATCATGATGTGAATGAACCAATCCTTCTTTCATGTTATTCATCTCCTCATCCTCCCCCACCCACAAAGAAAACAAAAATAGCAGGGATAACTAAAAATACCACTCACCACAATAATAACTTTTGCTTCAGGGATTGGAAGGTTTTCCACTTCCAGATCTTGACCAGTCATTGCTAACAAGTTGAGAGATGGGTCATAAGCAGGTCTAGGAAATGTGGACTTAACAATTATGCCAGGGTGTCGTTTGCTTGTTTGCATATGAGAAGAGGAATGGAAGCTGGGTTGTTTATATGTTTTTTCATGGCTTGTGTCCAAGCTCTTCTCAATAGTTTGCACGTGGTGGTAGATAAATACAGGCTTCCCAGTCTTCCTCTGATGAATTGCCAAGAGGTGGTCACTATCTCCTGAAAAGCATCCTATAAGGAAAAAGGAAAGAGATAGGAGTCAGAAATCTTATTGACATAGATGGACAGACCTATCAGATAAAACATTTGCATCCTACCAAGAAGTCTCATGATTTCTAAAAAAAAAAAAAAAATTCTGGTTTTACATAATGTAAGTACATAGCCTTCTTAGCAACACAGTCTTGATTGGTTAACTTTCTATGTCCAAAATCAGTTGACGAGTCATGTTAATTCTATCTCTACAATATTTATTAAGTACACGATTTGTGTCAGAAACTGTGCAAAGTTGTTTGTCCTTAGTTTTCAAAGTGGACCAATGACATCATGGAGTGATGTCTTGACTTTTGCATGGATTGGATTTAAGTGAGGCAGAGTTGTCCAAAGTTGTCAGCCTCACTCTCTCTTCCAGAGTCATCAAAGTTCAATGGCTGGACAAAAGTCAGAATGACTGGCAATGTCCTGGGATGCAGTGGATGACCTTGGCATCTTCAATGTCTGACCAGACTCTAAGTGCTTCACAGCATCTACCTTAGCCTCCTTCATGGATGTTGGAATAAATTATTCTCATCTGCCCATTCCACCAGGAGAAGTCTTCACATGCTTGGGGTAGACATCCCTCTAACATACTGATGGCTTTGAGACCTGTTGGTTACCCTCAACCTGATTTAACCTGTCTACCAAGATGGATTTTATTGGGGTGTGGCTGCTGTGTATGCTACAGCTTCTTGGAGCTACAGGTGAGAGTTGGGTGACTGGTTGGATACCAAAGGTAAATGAGCAGCCCTATAAAGGACTCAGCAAACCCTCATACCAGAGGTACTAGCTCTCCCTTAATACATTATATCATATTACAAATATGATCTCATTTCCTCTAATATTATCTCATTACCTCTAGAATCAAATATAAACTTCTCTGGCATTCAAAACCCTTAACAAACTGACCCCAACCTACTTTTTAGGCTTATTTCTTATTATTCCCCTTAATGGCTCCTATAGGACAGTAAAACTGGACTTCTTACAGTTTCTCATACATGATAATCCAACTTGTATCTCCATGAATTTCTACTGAAACTATGCTAAGTGCTGGGCACACAAAGGGAGGCAAAAGCAGGGCCTTGCCCTCAAGGAACGCACAATCTAATGGGATAAGACAACTCCTAAAATGAAGCAAAAACAGAGAGGGAGAGCACCCTGTGACATGGAGGCATGCTGAACTCAAAGACCAGTGAATTGCACCCAGGTGGGGAATAATGAGGTGGCTGCCCCGGGTGGAGGATCTGGGAGAAGCTCTCCAATGTCCATCCCCACCCTCTCCAATCAGAAGGTACCAATCAATACCCCCTAGATATACACGCCTAGGTGGGAAATGATGAGGTGGCATTCATGGCCACCCTCCAGGATCTAGGAGGAGCTCTCCACAAATATCTCACATTTGTCTCTTTCCCTCTATTCACATAGCCACCACTCCAATTCAGGGCAACATCGCTTCTCAGAAAGATTATTGCAATAGCTCCCAATTGGTCTTCCTTCTTCCTCTCTAATTAATCTTGACACAACTGCTAAATCGATTTTCCTGAAGCACATATCTAGCCATGTCACTTCCCTGCCCAGGAAACTTTGGTAGGTCATAACTGCCCCTAGAATAAAATGCAAATTTATTTAAAGTTTTAAGTTTCCTTCTTAAAATATGAGCATTTAAAGTGCTTCGCAGTTTGGCACTGATTTTACATTATTCCCAATCATATCTTTGTTCAGGCCATACTGTCCAAATTACTGTTTCCCATCCATGACATTTGATCTCTCATCTCCATGCCATTGTATAGATCATCCCACAACTTAAAGTGTTCTCTTTTCTCACATCTGCCTTTTGGAACCCCTAACCCCAACTCCTATGACACCTAGACAATCCATTACTGCCATGCCAAGAAAATCAATCTCTTCCATTTGAATTATCTTGGCAGGATAAAGTTCCAGACACTGAGGTCCTTTCTCAAACTAAACTGCCAAGCATTCAAACTCTACTGCAGACAGTGCAATTCTGATGGGCTAGCCATGTTTTTTTTTTTTAATGCCAAAAGTATGTTTGCCTAAAAGACTATTACAGAGAACTCACACAAGGTGAGTGCTCATATGGAGGTCAGAAGGAGTGATGCAAGGATACTCTCAAGGTCTCTCTGAAGAGCTTTGAAATTGATTTGAGACATGGGAGACACTGTCACAGGACTGCCAAGCCTGGAATGCATGCATCAAAAAAAGCACTGTGCTTTATGAGCAAAATAGAATTGCAGTAGCTCAAAAGTAATCTGAGACGTGCAAATTTAAAGATATCTCCACTTCAAGTGTTCATATGGATTATTTGTGCCTGACATGTGGTAGGGCCTTCCAAGGTTGTATTGATCTAATCAGTCACAGTTAGAAACACTGTACCTTGACCCCAACATAGTCATGTCATTTTGGTCCTCTTGGAGAACAAAGGAAAACCAACCACCAGCTCAACTACCATCTCCTTCAAGAGATCTTTCCTGTTTTCACCCAGTTATCAGTGTTCCTTCCCAAATTATTTTGATTGACTTTCATTTATTTATATATTTGTATTTTCTTATTTGTATATATATTTCCCCGTGATCCAATGGACAGTTTTTAAGGGCAGGGATTATTTTGTTTTGTCTTTTTATATCCTCAGCATCTAGCACTTGTCTAGCACGCAGTAGGGACCCAATAAATGTTTGCTGAATTGAACTGAATTGAGATCAGAGACTGTCATGTATCTTTGCATCTCCTTCAACATCTAGAAAAACATATTACGACTTTAATATATGGTGTGCTGAATGAACAGTGCTGAAACCACTTTCTTTCTTTAAAACTTGTCAAATAATTCTCTTTAAATAGTTACTTTAAAGATTCTGCTTGAAGCCTCAACTTGAATAACCTTAGTGACTTTCCTCCAGGAGAGCTCATTATTTATCAAGTAAGCCCATTCCACTTCCAGACAACTCTAATTATTAGTAAATTTGTCTTTATATTAAACTGAAGTTGGCCTCTCTGCAATTCCCACACATTTTGCTGTCAGCAGGCAAGTGGGAATAAATAGAATCTATCCTTTACATGACAATTCTTCAAGTATTTGAAAATTATTGGATCTAATCCCTTTTCCCAAATCTCTCCTCTAGGCCAAACATTTACAATTTCTTCGACCAATGTTCACATGGAGAAGGAGGAAAAGAAGGAGGAGGAGGAGGAGGAGGGAGAGGAAAAAGAGGAGGAAGAAGAGGAAGAGGGGAAAAAAGAAAGAAAAAATATCAATGACCCATTTTATAAATACACAAAAAAGAAAAGAAGAAAGTTCAAAAAGGGACAGAAGAGTAAAGAAGACTTGGTATTATTGTGCTAAATCTTTTTTTTTAATTTTTAAAACATACTTAACAGAAATTTAGAGTTTCATATGTAATCCTCTTTTTTGATATTTTGCAGATTCAAATGCTCATGTTTGTTGGTGTTTATTAAGTTCATAATTTTTTTTAAAAAAAAATTGAAAACAAAAGAATTGCACACTAGAAGTTGGCATTAAAAAATCCACAAAATTTCCTATCCATATTTGCAGAGGTGGAGTACTATATATATGGTGGAGGGTTGTGAATGTTATTTATGGATATGTTGGTGAGCATTGCCTCCTCTTTTTTTATTCTTTGTTATATGTCACAGCTCTCTGGGGAGGGAAGACAAGAGAGAAAAGGAGAGGGGAGAGGGATATATTAGGAAATGAAAGTGATGTTAGCCATGATATCAACATTATTTTATTTTAAATCATATTTCATTTTTCCCAATTACATGTCAAGGCAATTTTTAGCAGTCATTTTTACAAGATTTTGAGTTCCAAAATTTTCTCCCTCCCTCCCCTCCCTTCTTCTAAAAATGGTAGGCAATTTGATATAGGTTATACATATGCTATCATGTACAACATATTTCCACATTAGTCACAGTTGTGAAGGAAAAAAAAACAAATCAAAAAGATAAAAAAATGGAAAAGAAGGAAGTAAGTGAAAATCTATGCTTCAATTTGCATTCAAAGTCCATCAGGTCTCTTTCTGGGTGTGGATAGCATTTTCCTTCATTGGTCCTTTGTACTTGTCTTGGATCATTGTGTTGCTGAGAAGAGCTGAGTCATTTACAGTTGATCATCACAACAATGTTGCTGATACTGTGTGCAATGTTTTCCTGGTTCTGCTCTTTTCACTTTGCATCAGTTTGCACAAGTCTCTCCAGGTTTTTCTGAAATCTGCCGATTCATCACTTCTTATTGCACAATAGTATTCCATTACATTCATATACCACAGCTGGTTCAGCCATTAACAAAAAGCTTCCCCATGATTTGCAATAGTTTGCCACCACAAAAAGGGCTGCTATAAATATTTTTGCACATGTAGGTCCTTTTCTCTTTTTATGATATCTTTCGGGATACAGACATAGTAGTGGTATTTCTGGATCAAAGGGTATGCACAGTTTGGTTGCCCTTTGAGCATAGTTCCAAATTGCTCTCCAGAATGGTTGGATCAGTTCACAACTCCACCAACAATGCATTAATGTCCCAATTTTCCCACATCTTACTCAGCATTTATCATTTTCCTTTTCTTTCATATTAGCCAATCTGACAGGTGTGAGGTGGTACCTCAGAGCTGTCTTAATTTGCATATCTCTAATCAAAAGTGATTTAGAGCACTTCTTTCCATGCCTGCAGATAGCTCTTGTTTCTTCATCTGAAAACTGCCTGTTCATATTCTTTTACCATTTGTCAATTGGGGAATGGCTTGTATTATAAATTTGACTCAGTTCTCTATATATTTAAGAAATATATAGACACTTACACACTTGCTGTAAAGATTTTTCCCCAGCTTTCTTCTTTCCTTCTAATCTTGGTTGCATTGGTTTTATTTGTACAAAAAGCTTTTAGTTTTAATATAATCAAAATTATCTATTTTACATTTCATTATGTTCTCTATCTTGTTTCATCATGA